CTACTCATCCAAGTAGTTTCTTCAGTCACACTGAAGAAGCTACTTGGATGAATAGAGAAACATTTCAACCTAATAAAGTCCAGTTGCCACGATTCAACTTCCATGTAACCTCACCTGGATGACTTAGAATCTTCACATATATATTTTACCAATGTAACTTGCATACCTAATATCCATAGTATTAAACGCTGAGCACGTTACCATAGTCTCTCGAGACGGAAGTATATCTAATATAAATCTAAATCTAAAATGCTTAACATTATTCGTTTTTCAATGTAAGGTGAAATTTGAAAGTTTAGTAATCCCTTTAGACTTATTAAAGTTAAAAAGTTTTGATGAATCTTGCTTTAAATCTAGTCAATAAACCCTATGCATTGTTTACCTGTTTACATGTAGGTAAGCTGGGGGCAGAGTGGATGTGCATGCATGTCTTGCCACATGCCCAGCAGCATTCTAGACATTCATGCACTGAGAGGGGATATCAGCATAGGGCTCTGTAATCATTTTTGGCTGAATGTGGTTATAGAGCTACCATAGCTGGAATTCTGGTAAGGCCATATTTCCATTCAGAGGAGCTCTGATACAAAGTAATGTCCTGGAGGTGGGACCTACAATTCTCAGTTTAAACATCTATGCAATTAGGAGGGTATCTTATATTTTGATTGTGAAGCTTAGAAGGTTTTAGATGGTTCATATTTTATTTCTGAAAGCTGCTTTATATGCAATCTTTCTTTTATTTCAGACTGGTTCCAAAGCTTTTTTATAATTGTGACCAAGGGCAAGCTGATCCAGTAGTAGCAATGGCAAGGGATCAGAGTAGTGTCTATCTAAAATTGTTGATGCATGAAACTCAGCCTGCTTCTCAGTTTGCAGCAAGCACTGTCACCAGGTACAGTTATATTCTGCTGCCTCCTTCCTTTGCAGGAAAACAGCCTGACTCAGTTTCCTAATTCATAAATTGATTCTGTATCTCATTTCGAACAATAGCCTTTATTTTATCCATGGCGGTTTTCTCCACTTTCTTTTAGTAGATGTATGTCTGTGTAAAAACTAAATGAATCAGTTAATTAAGGGGTTTTCTTTGTGGGTGGTTTATAGGAGTGGGTTCCTTGTGTCAAGTTCAGCTGGGGCTTGATGATGGGATTTGTATAAGCATTACTGTAGTTCTAAATACTGACACAGAAACAGAATTATGGTCTCAATTATTGCATTTGATGTTGAATCTGCCATAATATTGTGTTATAGCATAACATGAATTGCATAGTTTCTCATGAAAAAGATGTTATAATTCAAGAAAAAACAGGAAATGCAACACAAATAGTTGTACAGAATGTATTTTAGGAATCAAGGCCCCCGCACAGGCTAATCAAAGCAGCCAGGCCTGTAACAACAGAATGGGCCACTGCAATAATTAATGGGTCTCTCCAGGAGACACTCATTAGGCCCATTAGGAAGAAACCAAACTTGGCAATGGACGACATCGGAAATTATAGGCCCGTCGCCAACGTTTCTTTCCTTAGTAAGGTGGTTGAGAGGGTGGTGGCAGATCAGCTTCAGGCGCTTTTGGACGAAACCAATGCTCTGGACCCATTCCAGTTGGGCTTCAGGCCGCGCTACGGCACAGAAACGGCACTGGTCGCACTGATGGATGACCTGTTGAGGGAGGCCAATAGTGGTAATATATCCCTGTTGGTCCTCCTTGACATCTCAGCGGCCTTTGATACCATTGACCACGGTATCCTCCTGGGGAGGCTCTCTGAGTTAGGGATAGGTGGCCTAGCGCTTGCTTGGCTCCGATCTTTTTGGAGGACTGTCCCCAGAGAGTACAGTTTGGAGAGAGGGTCTCGACCCCGTGGAGCCTCAGTTGTGGGGTTCCACAGGGGTCGATCATCTCTCCAATGCTGTTTAACATCTACATGAGGCCGCTGGGGGGGGTCATCAGGGGGTGTGGAGCCTCGTGTCACCAGTATGCTGATGACACACAGCTCTACATCACCTTCTCATCTTCCTCAGTGGATGCCGTTCTGTCCCTTCAGCGCTGCCTGGAGACTGTACTGGAATGGATGCAGTCGAATGGGTTGAGGCTGAATCCGGACAAGACGGAGGTCTTGAGGGTGGGTGGTCCTTCC